AAAAGGAAGAAAGAAAGAAGAAGAAATCTGTCTTGTGTGTGGGCCCCTCCGGGTTTCGGCGTGCGACGGGGGCACCCGAGAGCAAAATGCAAGGGCGGGTGTGGCGGGGCGCATCCCCGGGGCCAAGGGGACCCGCGGCGAGAGCTTGGGCGAACGAAACCCAAATAAAAACCACCCGGTCCGCCCAGGCCGTTGTGAGCGCGTGTGGGCGGCGGCGGCGGGCGGTGGCAGCGGCTCCAAAGACCGTACTTGAAATCTGGTCCCGGGGGCGCCGATCTCCAGGCCTGCGGAGCCTCGCGCCCGAGCGCCGGGCGGGGGCCGAGTGGGCTCCTCGGGGCCAGCCTGGAGCGGCGGCCAGGGGATAACCCAGCCCACGTAGCAGTCACCCACGCGTCGCGCTTTAGCGCCTGCCACCCCGGCGTGCCGCAATGCGGAGGCGCGGCCCTGCAGGCGACGCCGATGTGGCCCCGAGGGTGCCCAGGTGCTGCCCAAGGGCCACTGCCTCGCGGAGCTTCGGGCCCTCGGCCCCGCCCGAGCCCTCGGCCAGTCCGGCCGGGTCTGAACCTCGCGGTTCTTGGGGTGGGATCTGGGGTGGTCGTAGGCTTCGCGCTGCAAATGAAAACAGATCCTTCGCCGGCTGCGTAGCAGAGCAGAAAGCACGCTGCGCTCGAAGGGGCGCGCCTAGGCACAAAGCCTCCAGTCCCTGGAGCCTGGAGGGGAGATGTGCGGGGATCCCGCCTAGTCTTTCCCCACCCCAGATCTCTCCTACCCGGCCAGCGCCTCCTAATCTAAGCCGCCGCTTAAAATACAGTATCAAGCTCCAAAGACAATTACCCCACTAAGGACGCAGAGAAAGGAACCCTTGCCAACGCCGGGCAGATTGGTAGTCATTCCTAGAGAAATCCCCTGAGCTATCTGAAATCCACCTGGGGCAGCTGGTCCCGGAAGCCGCGGGCCGCCCCTTCCCAGCACTGCCCGGAGCTGGGCTCGGTGGGTGGCGGTGGCAATCTCCGCGCGGCGAGAATGCATTTCCCGAGAGGGTTCCTTTAAGAAGTTTTATGTCCCGGGGTTGGCGCGGGGCTTGCCTGGACTCTGAGTAAAAGTTCCCGGCTTCTCCAGGGTCGGCTCCTTTGCCCTACCCATCTAGCCTTCATTTGGGGCGAGGGAACTTCGCTCCTCTCTTGGGGCCCCTGAAGGACCCAGCCTGCGGTGATAATCAGGAGAGCTTCGGTTTTGAAGGGGAGCTCATACACCTACCTGGCCACATTTGGGAGGGAGGGAGCAGTTTCAAATGCACTGGACTAAAGACTCTTATCAAGTCTCCCTTGGGGTTCTGGGCACATCACCATTGGAGGACGGGGCCCCAGCTCTGAGAATCCCAGTCTCTCCTGTGGTTCCCCCAGAGGGGCCAAGACGGGAGATTGGGAAGGTGGGGGTGGCCCCAGGGGAGGCTTTCTGAGAAGGACTTGGGCATATCAGGGGACTGGCCTCCCCTCCTGGGCCACCCCTGGGGCTTCTGTCCCTGTCATCTGTTCCTGCTGGCCTGAACCTGAGTGCCCCCCCCACAGCCAACTGTCAGGTGAGGGGTGGTTTAGGTCCCCACCAGGTTAGGATAGGGATCCAGGACTCAGTCTCTCTTTATCTGCCTATCCTCTATAGGACAAATACCTCCACAAGAGAAGAGAATTACTTCACTGGCAAGTGTTCTGGTCACTTTCTAAACTGTCCACAGAAAGGCCTGAGGGTGTCAGGGGTCCTTTCTGGGTGCCCCTCCAGCACTGTTAGGTAGCACGGAGGTACTCCTCACCAGCCGAGGTGCCTAGATCCACAAAAGATCCCGTGTGCCAACGGGTGGGAAGCCCTCCTTCCTCAGACTGTAGCCTGGTTCCTGTGCAAACTCGGTGTCGGGACACGGGGTCCCACCCAGTGCCCCCCCAAGGTCCCACTCTTGGGCCCCCAGGGCCCTGGATCCAGCGCCCGACATAGTCCAACGCTCCTGGTGGCTGGAAGCCTCCCCCGCTGGTGCCGGCTGGCTGCTGCCGGCCCTCCCCTGAAGCCCCGGATCTGGACTCCGCGGAAACACCCATAGTAAACAGATTTTCCTGGGGATTTTTGAGCAAAGGGACCGGCATTATCAGGAAGCTCAGCCTCTTGCCAGACCAAGGGGCTGGCCTACACAAAGTTGCTGTAGATCTTCTGACTGACTGGCAGCCTGAACCGCCTGGATGGCTCAGGGTGGAGAGGGCTGTCGAGGTTGGAGAGTGCTGTCGCGGTGACAGCGCTTCGCCCTGACTTTGAGGACCCCTCTCTTTGAGACTGGGCTGTCTCGAAACATTTTCTCCACATAAGCACGCGTTGGGGGGTGAAAATGTACAGGCACGGGGGGAGGGGCTTTTCTCGAGCCCCTCTAGCCCTAAGAATTGTGGTGAGTGAAAGCAGCCTCACCCCATCTTGCCCTTCCTTCCCGCTTCTTGGGGAATCCTGGGTTTGGGCCTCAAGGTCCTCCAGCACCAGTCGCTGTACCCTGAGCCCCTCTCTCTGTTGGCTCCACCCCAACACTCCCTTGAGGGTGAACACTAAAATCCCAGGCAGCAGCGGGAACAGCCAAGGCCACGGTGTTGCAAAGTAGAGCCGCACAGTGAAGTCAACGTGTGTATTCAACGCTAGACGGTCTGCGGACTTCTCCGGGATTCCTGGGTAACAAGGAACACAAGCCCTGGCAGGCTTTGGGGGTTCGCTTCTGCACCTGGCCCTCCCCAGGTCGACCCAGCAGCGGTGCCCATCAGGCATTTGGGGAGTCATTCAAAGCAGAAGCGGGGACCCGGATGACTCTTTGCCCTCTCCCTCGCTCGAGCCTCTCTCCTCTTTTGCTCTTTCTCTGCCTCCCCGGACGCGCAGCCAAGGGATTGTGCAAGCTTCCTGCTCGTCGTCCTTCAGGAGCCCGGAGCTGGGGCCGGGACACACTACAGGCCAGGCGCACCCTTACCCCTCCTATTCAACCATGCCCGCTCTGTCGGGTCCAGCCACCGCGACCCCACGGAGCTCGCGGACCCACCCGGGGCGCCCTCGGGAGGCCACGCGTGGTGCAGCAGCTCCCCCAGCCGGACGCTGGAACTGTATGCGTTGGAACGCGCCGTCTCGCAGGGGGCCCGAGGTGCTAAACTTCACACTCCCCGGGCTGTCCAAGACCAGGGGATGGAAATTCACGAGGAATGCATGGCTCCCAGGCCATTCCGTGCACCGTCTCGAGGTCCACTCTCCCCCTATCCCTCAGCCTCAATCTCTTCTTGGCCCTCCCCGACTCCCTTTTTTGAGGTCCTTCCCAGAACCCCAAGAAGTCTCCTTGGGCTTCCAAGCAGACGTGGGCATCCCCTGCATTCTCATTCTCTCTCTCTCTCTTCTCTCTCTCTCCTCTCTCTCCTCTCTCTCTCTCTCTCTCTCTCTCTCTCTCTCTCTCTCTCTCTCGTCCTCCCTGCCCCGCCAAAGAGTGAGCGAAGCATAAATTCGGAGCGGGTCAGAATCCCGGGTAAAACTGGATTCGGAGACCCTGGCTGGTGAGTGGTGAGGTAGTTGAGCGCCAACGTCCCAGGGCCGGCGGCTCCTTTGTCCCTGTCCGCATCCTCCGTGTTCCTTCGCGTCCAGTCTTCTCGCTCTTTCCCTCCCTTCCTCGCCTTCCTAAATGCCCAGAGCCTAGCGGGGCGGGGCAGCGGGCACGGAGGGTGGGGGCGCCAGTTGCCCCCGCCCCGATTCCGCCCCCTGCCGGAGGTGTCCCGGTGCTTCCAGAACTCGAGTTGGTCGCAATGTGGAGCAACTGTAAAGTGCAGCGGATGCCTCGGTGGCCCCCAGCAGGGGTCCCCGGGCCGTGCACACCGAGAACCAGCGGCCGGGGGTGGGGCGAGGTGGGGAGGCCCGCGTGCCCGGCTGCGGACCGGACTCGGCCCCCGTCGAGGTGCCCACGCGGCCGCCTGGGTTGACACACCTCTCCTCCGCGGCCCCAGCTCGCTCGCCCCGCTCTCAGATCCCTCCCCTGCACCTCCCGGCGCCCTCCTCTTCTCCCGGCCTCCTCCCGCGCCCTCCTCCACCTCCCCCGCCGCCCATGCCCGGGGCCTCCGGTAGGCCGGGCTGCGCCAATCCGAGCCGTGGCC